TATTCTTTTTCACCTCTCTACAAGTGTCATGCAATTGATCCAGTCCCCTCGTCTCCTTGTAAGCCGAAAAAGCATGCTCCAGGAGAAACTCTTCTGACACTCGATGTTTTCACCAGAATCACATCCTCGTCCTCAGCCAGCAGACAGACATTTATGACCAGCTCCAAGAAAAATGTGGACGCTAAAATATTTTGTCACTCCTTGTTTGATACCTTGTCCGTCTTCGCTCTAGATTTAATATCTCACCGGCAGCCATCTAACATTGCTCTTCTGTCTTTATCTCCTTCGAGCGCCGCAACATCTGTGTAAGTTCTTTCTCTTCTTGCTGAGCTTGCAACTCAGATTCTTTATTATCCCTCACAATGCCTTCTGCACGAGTCTCTCCATAACTGCTTTTCCTTTTCCTTCAGAATATTCCAGAAGCGAAACTTTCCCTTCTGGAATATTTTGATTTCCTCCTCTGTTCCCACCTCTGCTTGTGGGCTTCAGTGGCACCAAAAGGTGAATTAGACTGAGCGTTACATCGAGACAGGTACCTCGAGTGAGTGCAGGTGCAGGCTCTGGTGACTCTAGTGACCTCATGGGAGCTAGTGCAGCTAGTCGAACATGCCTGTACTGTAAAGCCTTTCACCGACCACGAACAAACGTCGTACGAACTGGCCCCAAGCTTTTGCCATCATCACTGGTCGAGCAGCCACGTGGAGAAGGAAGTGGCGGTTACTGTCCAAAGGCTGAGACCTTTGTTTTTGTGACAATTGCTCCTCCTCGCCTACTGCCGCGCCTCACCCGAAAGTCTGATATGATTTTCGGTTTCTGAGCAGGAACAATTTTGCATCGGGTGTAAGAGTGTGTTCACTTAGAGCGCAGACTTTGATGCTAAATTTTTCTACTCTAAGACATTTCATCCCCTGCAGCTGTCAGTGAGTTGGGAACATGATTTTTCGTTTTTGAATGTTCATGTAAGAGAATATAAGGTCTGTGTTGTAAGGGATTTTGTAGATGGAGAATCGGACCTTATAGAACATTCGTTCATGCAAAATAAGATAAATTCTCATGTCTTGAGCGAGCTAAATGTTGGAAGCTGATAGAGAGATAAATAGACTGTCGATATATGGCATAATTGCAATATCTGGAACTGGGCGTTGATACTCTTCTGACGTTTCCGTGTGGTGATTTGATTGCCCGTCAAAACTCCGGGCTCGGCAGTGGGTCGAGCTCTGTTACAGCCGACAATAAAGGAATGAACTCTTCAAATTCTCCCGTCCCTGGCCGGGAGCATATGTCGTCACTGGTTGGTTGACTCTGCAGATCACGCGAGAAAGTAAACATCAGGATGGCCACGCCTTCTGTCTACTGGCGACAACTAGACGAGCTACTGGGCTCTGTGGCTGCTTTGAAATCTCATTTGCAGTCGAAGAATTTGTGATTGATGGGTTCCCTAATGATTAGTCACCAAGTGCGAATGGTAAATCAGAACCGGACTATGACGATGGATTCTTGCAAGACAGAGACCATCGTGGAAGGCTTGAGCAGAACGTCTGCCAACGAGGTCCTCGGTCGCTTTCTCCACGACAAGGGATCCGAGCTGTTCGAGTCCATCACCAGAAGTACTATCCCCCTCTGCAGGGCGTAAGATGATATACTGAATGAGTTTGTGTAAGGTATTTTAAGCTGGTTTAATTGTATACAAAATTGAATAAAAAAATACATATTACTCATTATAAATAAACAAATTAGAAGAGAACAAAATCTCTGTAATCTTGTATTTTTTGCACGCTGTAACTTGAAAACTTTCAAGTAAGGGCCATCTGGCAGTAGATACTGATCCTGCTGATTCAATGGAATCAGACCTTCCATTGAAGGTCTGATTCCATATGTACGATGGACGGGAGTTACACTCTGTATTACACAAATGACACAAGATCATTCTGCACTCTGTTGTAAACGAATCGCCAAACTAAGGGTAATGATCCAAAAATTGCATCGAAAGCATCACTGCAATCATTGGTAATATTACAGTTCGGTCTATCTAAAATTCGAACAGGGATGTACACAACTTCAAAATTGTGCAATGGTTTTTACTGAATTTCAAAAAATCTATTTGTGAAGAAAGTTCAATACAGAAAAAATAATCTCCCAGTTCACTTGTCAATTTGTGCTGTATTTGATCCACAGAAAAGCAGTAGTCAAATGGTTAGTTGCGTATACCATCTTCGAAAAACATTATGCAGATGAACAGCTCTGAGACTTTGGCCTCATTGACGACGAACACCAAACGAGAAACTATAAGGCACGCCATGCGAGGACAATAACACATCTCTCCGCGTCTCCGTATTCCATCTGGGCAGTGTAGCGGCTGCCTGTAACCCGAGCGGGAGTAGGAGAGATGGGAGCTGGGGCCTCTGGCAGAGGGCCGCCGGGATCATGTGGAAGGCACGTCCACTCGAAGCGTGGAGTCTCTGGTCCGGGCTCCTCCGCGGAAGCGAGAGAGGAGTCCGCGGAGATAATGCGGAAGGCACAGCGTCAGGCGGGAGACCGAGCAGCGATCACTTCCCGCTCTGCGCAGTCGAGGGCCAGCGTGCTCGAATGCTCGCCCGGCGATCATCCCACGCCAGAAGCCTCCTGCCACCTCTCTCTGCCTTTTTTTTAATTTTGGAACTGTTTATAAGAACCTTAATGCCTCCAATTTCTGATTGATTTTTATTGGATGAGATGGCCTCAACTCTTGTATGGCGTAAAAACCTTCACCTTCAACAATGGAAGAAAGCTGGCTTGAAAGGAGATAATTATATCTCATTGCAAGCAATGTCCATCCTATCCACAATATCACATCAATCAACGCTAAGTGAAATTTGAGAAGTGAATCATTGGATTCTTTCAACGACCTCGTGGAGACATTTACCTCTGCGGTGGCATACTTCAGAAACAAGCAGCGAGAGCGACATCATGTTCCAATTATGAGCGGTTTCAGGTTAGATTCTCGTCCTTGCAGGTGAACCAGTGGGAGGTGGTAAGTGAACACCTACTGGCTTCCACTTCAGAACATGCCACCGTCTATGCAGTCATCTCATTTTCACAATTTGAGATGCTACTGCCTCATATCACATCCTATTTTCTCAATTACATGGAGATAGTGCAAATTATGAATCGAGCAGCAACAGGAAATAGGATCAATCTCAAACGATTGCGTAGTTGAGGTAGAGGACTGATCGTCTCACAAAGGAGAAACATGAGAAGGGGACTGAGGCAAACGAATAGAATACTGAGTGACGTTTATCATGACAAGCATTGCGTCAATGGAGCTTTTGTGAAATATTGTGCGAGTCATGCGCTTCGTATTCTTTGCCATGCAGCTTCAACCGCCGAGGAGCACTCGTGGGTTCATGAAGTGAACATGCTTCACTCACGAGTCCACTGAAAGTAGGCAGATTCTGGTCATTCCGTTTTCTTACAATTGCTTGCATTGTGAATGTGTCTTTGACCGGATGACGTTCACACCTGATTCTCTATTGAAATAATGATTCTTGGCAGTAGCATCTCAACTTGATAGACGGTGGCATGCTCTATAGCGGAAGCCAGTAGTTGTTTTCTTCGAAAAGTTTATAACTTGAAGATGACGTAGCACTCGCTGCTGTTTCTGAAGTATGCCACCTCATAGGTGAAGGTCTCAACAAGGTCGTTGTAATAACCCAATGATTTAGTATCAACTTCTGAAAGTTTAGGTGATAGTGTCGATATGATGGACATGCTTCCAACGATATATAATTATCTCCTTTCAAGCCAGCGTTTTTCAATTGTTGAAGGTGATGGTTCTTAAGTCATCTGGGGTGCAAGAGTTGAGGCCATCTCATCCAATAAAAATCAATCACAAATTGGAGGCATTAAGGTTCTTATAACCAGTTCCAAAAGAGCTAGAGAGAGGTGGCAGGAGGCTTCTGGCGTGGGATGATCGCCGGCGAGCATTCGAGCACGCTGGCCCTCGACTGCGCAGAGCGCGAAGTGATCGCTGCTCGGTCGCCCGCCTGACGCTGTGCCTTCCGCATCATCTCCGTGGACTCCTCTCTCGCTTCAGCGGAGGAGCCCGGACCGGAGACTCCACGCTTCGCGTGGACGTGCCTTCCACATGATCCCGGCGGCCCTCTGCCAGAGGCCCCAGCTCCCATCTCTCCTACTCCCGCTCGGGTTACAGACAGCCGCTACCCCTGCCCAGATGAAAGAGTACCACGCGTAGGGATGTGTTATTGTCCTTCTTTGAAACACGGCGTGCCTTATAGTTTCTCGTCGGTGTTCGTCGTCAATGTGGCCCATATTCTCAGAGCTGTTCATAACTCGTACTGCACGTTATTTATTGTAGATGGTGATTACACCAATCTATATTTTTGATACTGTTTCGTGAATCATAAACAGCGCAAATTGATAACTAAACAATTCTTCCCAAACCGAGAGATAGTGTACACTGTGCTGATTTTCTTCACAATGTCACCAAAATGGTAATAATATCGAGTAAAATTATAGTAAAATGAGTCAATAATCCAATATTGTTCATGAATTGTTTGATAGATTCAAATCTGTTAACAACAACTGAAGTAGTGGTGCTCTTAATGCAATGTATTCATTCTACACATTCATTATTTTACTAATGAATGAGTAGATATAGAGAGTAGGAGTACATAATACAGAGTAGGTTAATATGCCATTTGTGTCATACACAGATTCATTTGATTACATCGAGCATATGAAAAAGAAAGTTATTTGAATGGTTGGTAAGTAAAATTTCATTAATTTTGTGTACCGTAGAGCCAGTGAGGTGTTTCACAGTTCACAGTTACATACAATTTGAAGATTTGAGAATATTTTTATTATTCAAGAAATTTATGCACGTACAAAATTATTTTGTTCCAAGACATTCTCATGCATATTACGTTTTTCGTAAATATGCAAAACGTACTGTACTTCACACCCCGCGAGGTAGTTAATCATTTACAAATCATAGGTTAAAAGCGGAATTTATATATTTCAGAAGAGCATTATATTACAGGTGAATCGATCAATACGCACGAGCCTGAAACTGCTAATGTACAGACTAAAATGTAAAGGCTGAAATGTTGGAACGGTGTAACGCCATGGTACAATGCACTGACTACTTTCTTGTCATCAAATTTCGAGGGCAATTAAAAGAAAGTGCGGAAGACTGGTGCGTGGATAAAGCTCTCCGTGAGCAGCAGCGACAGGAAGCCGAGCATGGCCAGGCGCCCGTTCCAGCGCTCGGCCCTGGCCGTGAACGGCCCGAAGCTACGAGCGTCCGTCGACTCGCCGTTCAGCATGGGCACGATGGACGCGTAGGCGATCAGCGGCACCAGCGCCACGTAGAACACCAGCCCGGTTCCTTGCGTGTACAGCTGATCGAACACCGTCAGACCGCTCATCTTCTCCGCCACAGCAGCCCACACAATTCCAACCATCGCCTGAATTCATAGACCACAAGTTTCCCATATTAAGTAAATTGCAATCACAGTTCCCTCAGAATTAGCTTACAATGATAGCTAATCAGAATCATTACGAAATCAGAATTCAAGCACCATTGTGATCCAGGCAATAAGAAAGCTCAGCAAATTACTAGTCTGCCATTGATGGTTTCAGGTGCGGCGCCATCAAACGCGAAGATGCTGTCAAGGCTTTTGTCACCGGTTTCCGGTCGCCTCTCGACCTCCGGGCGAGGGTAGAAGGAGCCGGATGTGGGCTTGGCACCGAACACCGACTGCTTCTCGGACTCGTTCACCTCTTGGTTCTTCAGAATCTCGTCCTTGGTAATCTCTTTCTTGGTGGCCTTATCGACGGCCTCCCTCACACCTTCGCATCTGATGGATCCCAGTCTCCTCGTGGACATCGGAGCCCTCACGCTTTTGTAGCTGGAACTTGACGCAGCAGACCTCTTCAAATTGGAGGTCAGAGGCGCACTTCTCAGTCCGGCTGCGGCAACGGTGGAACAGACCATCATAGCTGCCATTGTGCGAAGCTCACGTCGGAATTGGTCGATGAAATTATATAGAGCACTAGAACTCAATCGGATCCTGCGACTGCGAAATCCAATATGAACAGAATTCGGGACGCAAGTCCTAGAAGCTTAGCGAGTGTCAACTGCAAGCGATGGGCTGTGATGCGAGCTTTGAGAGAGTCGAGTGCGAACGGTGCGATTGCGAGTGGCAACTTTGGGAGCGAAGTGACATTTAATAGCGGCTGAGATGTGGGACAGAGGGAGGGAAGACTGCCACTTGTCTCGAGTACTTGGAGGCGCTTCGTGGCTCCACGTCGGCCCGGAGAGTCGAATACGAGTTTGGTGCCTGCGAGTCGCGATGCTGCCCGACGGCAGTCATGGCAGGAACCACAACTCACCAGGTCCTCGGAGAGCGAGGGGAGAGAGGCAGAGGCAGCGCGGATCGAAAGTGCACGCAGTTGACCCGTGTACCCCCTGCTGCTTTGAACCCACCACCTGTGCCCTTGGGGAGTCCCGATTCGCACTTCGATTGCAGCCGGTGGTGGGGAGTCAATCACCTGCGGATGGACCGTACTCCTAACGACCGAGTGCTGCTGACACATAGCGGGCTACGTTGTACAATGCAGACTCGCACTGAACTCATGCTTTCTCTGTCCACATAATCTAGCTTCAATAATAAGCGAGTTCATATATAACCTCGATCGTCAAAATCAAACAGGATATTTCATCCAGTGGACTGCATGCGTTCTGTCACCAAAGCTTCGCCTCTTCACTGACTGACTGAAGTAATAACAGTGGGATATCTTGGCTGTGATGCGGATAATATACGAATGCAAGTAGGTGGACAGGTGTTTGGGAAAGTGCATTTTCTTACGGCAGGACTGTACTCGTTAATCCGTTTTGACAGATATCTTACTAAAATTTTTAGGCTGAGTTGAACACCACATCTACCAGTCAATGGAGCTGCAATCGATCACCGTCTCGTTTCAAAGCCTTGATTTGTCCAAGTGCGATACAAAAGGCTCAGAGTAAGATGCATATGCCAATCGATGAATCGATCAGATCATGGATCTTGCTTATGTATCGAAGCTCACCCAGACAAAAAACGCTCTTCAGTAGCATTACCGCAAAATAACTTCAATGTGACTAATTTGAACACTTATGCCACATTGTGTCACGTAGACTTACATCCATTTGTCCTGCATTACTGGAAAATGTTCACGATTGCATTGTGATGTAATCATTGCATTGAAGTTAATTACATTTCAGTATGGATCTCTGTATGATTGAGATTATGCTTATTCACAACCTAATCTCATAAATGGGACATACAAGTTCTGTACATTTTTGTGCATTTACAGAGTTTACAAGAAAATACAGTTTTACATGTTCCACAATTAAGACATCTGTCTTAATTACATCTGAATGATGTGACTACATCGTTTAAAATGGTTGTTGCCAGTTAATACTAGAGCAGTTTGTTTGGTTTGACATTCAGCTTCAAGGATAGTTGCATTTCTTCCTCACGTAAGGCTAGGAATTTCTAAAACATTTGTTGGAACGTTTTCGATTACTTTTTCTTGCCTCGCAGTAGACATTGAAAATCTTGGGGTGGTAAATGTATGGTTCTCTCCATTTTCCGATTCATTTCCTTGAGGTGGGGCTGTGGCGCGTCACAGATTCTTCCATTCTCGCCAGTGTTGTTACAGTATCCCGATTTCGACGGAAATTTCTCAGAAGATCAGCCGAGATTCGGGCTAATCTGAATTTATTCATTGTATTTAGAAGCATTTTATACGACAGATGATACAAACAATGGACTTGACGAGGTTAACTTGCCACTGTTTACGTACAGTCAACTATTGAACTTTCATAATTTATAGTGTTAATTGTAGTAGCTTCTAGGAGTTTTCACGTTATTGACAATGGCGTCTTTGAGATTACCAAACAATTGTATATATCGAATTGAAAGTGTAAAGTATATGTAGTTGCAACTGGTAGGTTGTTATTTGTAGTTAATATAGTTATTGTAATATAGTCGTGTAACTATTCAATTTTGCAAGATTGGTTGGATAGTGAATATAATTATGTATATATATTTGTCATATTTTTAATGTTTTATTGTAGAACAAATAAAGTTTTTAGCTTTTCGGTTAAAATAATTATTTAGGTATATATCAAAGATTAGAGAGAATAAAAGTATATTCCTTTCCCTAATTGTACTTCGACAATTCTTGCTGATATTTCTCTGTTCGCAATTTGTTACGAACTAAGAATGATGGAGAAAAGAAAACAGACAATTCAAGAAATCTAGTCTCAAAACTGATAAATTACAAAAGTACGTAAGAATGCAGAAGCGTGTACTTCACACGCTTGGTCTTTATTCACCTCATTATGTATTATACATGAATCAATCGGCTCAACGAGCTCGAGTGTGCTAATCTGAATTGAAAGATTGGTAATGTACAGCCTATTAATGTACAATCATCCGCTATGATAAACAAGATTTGCGTCATCGTCATCCAGGCATCTAGAAGAATGTGCGGAAGACGGGCGCGTGGATGTAGCTCTCCGTCAGCAGCAGCGACAGGAAGCCGAGCATGGCCAGGCGCCCGTTCCAGCGCTCGGCCCTGGCCGTGAACGGCCCGAAGCTTCGAGCATCTGTCGACTCGCCGTTCAGCATGGGCACTATGGACGCGTAGGCGATCAGCGGCACCAGCGCCACGTAGAACACCAGCCCGGTTCCTTGCGTGTACAGCTGATCGAACACCGTCAGACCGCTCATCTTCTCCGCCAGAGCAGCCCACACAATTCCGACCATCGCCTGAAAACACAGACCAACAGATTCCCATATTTAATTATAAATTCCAGTTACAGGTCTCTCAGTATCACAACGGAATGATAGCGAATCAAAATCATTATGAAAATAGAATTCAAGCACCACTGTGATCCAGGCAATGAGAAAGCTCAGCAAATTACCAGTCGGCCATTGATGGTTTCAGGTGCGGCTCCATCAAACGCGAAGATGCTGTCAAGGCTCTTGTCACCGGTTTCCGGACGCCTTTCGACCTCCGGGCGAGGGTAGAAGGAGCCGGATGTGGGCTTGGCACCGAACACCGACTGCTTCTCGGACTCATTAACTTCTTGGTTCTGCAAAATCTCTTCTCTGGTAATTTCCTTCTTCGTGGTCTTGTCCACAGCCTCCCTGATCCCTTCGCATCTGATTGAAGTCCATCTGCCCGGGGCCAAAGGTGTCCTCACGGTGCCGAAGCTGGACTGGCACGAGGAAGATCTTTTTAAACTCGACGACAGAGGAGCACTCCTGAGTCCTGCTGTAGCGAAGGTGGAAGACGCCATGATTGCGGCCATCGTGCGCAGTGTCTGACGTTCAGATGTAGAACTAGATTCAACTATAGACTTTCTTCGTGATAGTAAACTGTGATCTTGTCCAGATACTCAAAGCGGTGAAAAGGTGTATGAGCAGCAGGCGAAGAGAAAAGAAGATTTAACTTATGAGTAGAAAGTGTTAGGGCGAAATGAAGATATGAATGTGAGAGTAGATTGTTGAGGAATCAAGAGATGGGACGAAGCTATATAGTGGGGACGATGTCGAAGAAAAGGGAGCGGCATTGCCACTTGTCTCGGGGTTCGGATGCTCTTGGTTGTGCCACGTCGACTGATTGTGTTCCCGCCTGCGCTTTTGTTACCCGTGGCCGAATCCCATAAAGTTGCTGCTCGACGAATGAGCGCGCTTAGAAGTGACTGCAGTCGCCAGATGTCACGGGTCGGTTCCGAAGGCACCACCTGTGCCGTTTGCAAGCAGACCTAGAGCTCACCAGCTCGCGCAGTGAGCTTTGTATGGCGACACCGACGGATGCGGAATGGTTGATGATAACGAAGCCACATCTCGAAATGTCGAATTGAAGTGTTGTGAGCTGCTCACTGTACAATGACACGGATTTTCGTGGAGGAAGTGCGGGGAATAGCGTAGCTGCGCGCCGTCAGACTGCTCGCATACTTCCACACGTACCTCGAGGATCTCCTCACCATGTTTTGTTTCATCCATGAATGGCGAACTGATAGCTGAAGAAGCATGACTTGTTTCATCAGGGGATTTGGACATTAGCTGCACGTATCGCAGTCCCGTCGAATCCATAGCAAACACATGGACTTCTGCATCCTTGATGTAAGTCATAGCTATGGCCGAAACTTGAACAAGATGTACAGTTGTCTAGCTGAAGGAACTGGGTCTGTAGACAGATGTATTCTCCTGCAGCATGGTAAATGAGTCCAACCGATCTAGATAAGAAGCAAGATGATACAAGCGCTTGTGATTCTTGAAACTGAGCTAGATGCATGGTTCCAGCCATCTGCCTCCTACGTTTGATTTGTCCAACTGCGATGTGAGTAACCGTGTAGCAACGTCCACGAGTGATACCCAAACTCTTATAATCGATGACGTCCTTTTTTGCTCCACACAAATGGTACATAATATGATTATAGGTATAGTATTTTTATTTCTTCAATAAATCCAGACATACCAGCGATTCATTTGGTTTGATTCAAATTATTTGAATATATAAGTCCAACATATTCATCATTGTCCACTCAATTAATTATTGGTTTATTTTGATAAAGTACTGCCATAGTTTTTGCTTTTTGGTCATCAATTTACTAGCACTAAAGTTCATACTATAAACAATATAATAATACCACGATTTGTCCCTCACGAGAATAATTTTGTAACGGGGGGAATTTTGAACATAAGGGAGCAGCACACCCACTTGTTCCGGGGCTACGAGGCAGTATGTCGTTCAACGCGGTCGTCAAGTGTAGAATGCTCGTGTTGTCACAAGCGAAGTTCACTCGTGGCAGAATCCTGAAGCACCAAGTTCCCAACTGAAGAACGGGCATGCTTTGAAACTAATCATTGCTGCCATGTGTCGAGGGCAACTACTGGACATACCAACTGCTGTCTTTCTGCAGGTGATGCAGGAACTTGCGAGTTTTTGGATCATTGGACTGCAGCCCCATCCAGTTATCAACGATGCCGCCATCTTCGAGTCCTTAATCCGCATTTTGGGCCTGAAAGCGGAAGTGATGGAACTTTGCGTCCAATAGTAAGAAAGGGATTATTAGTCGAGATCAGGTATAATAAACCAATCGACCAATTTCAGTAGGAAACATCCCGATTCCACAGCATTTATCTGAACAAACAAGTTGTCCGACGAAGACCTTCGAATTGTCCAACTGCGGTACGAAGAGAATATGGTACTCCCATTCAAAACGCATGCTGAAAGAGCTCGCGCATCTGAACAGAAACACATCTCATCCTAATTTGACTGCGATACAAAATATAAAGAACGTTTCGAGCACGGGCTAAAATTCAGCGCTTGTTCTTGATCCTTGAACACTAATGTATGTTCACCATATAGATATTAAGATATGATTAAGAATAAATCGGATTATAACGTTTGATTAGAGATTTCTCATCTAGCTCTTGCTTAAAATTTTCAACAGTTAAATGTTAATTTTGATGCAATATAATATTCCAGAAATGAATAATAGAAATAAAAATTTAAAAACGGGGATGTGTGCAAATTTTACTAATGATTTATTCTTTTTTCATGGGAATATAAATTGGTATATTTCAATTCTTATTTATTTTACAGTATAAAATTATTTTTTTCTTTTACTATATTCATCAGAATTTAAATTATTGTTAGCATGAACCGTATCAAAATATTTTCTATCTTCAAAGTTAAAATTTTCCTTTCTTAATAGTTTGTTCAATATATTTATTAAAACCAACTATTCATTAATTTTATGACATTTCATCTTCATTACTAATGATAATATGCGCACATCATCCGCGTTACACCAAACTATAACAACGATAGTGTAATAAACTTCAAGATATAGTAATTACATAAATTTATGATCCGAGTAAATTAGAACTGAATGTAGAAATGTGCATTGATCACGCTCTATTCCTTCATTATTACAAACTGTATGTGACAGATATCAATCAATGGTTCGACGAGCTTAAAATTGCTAGCATACAGACTAAGATCTTCAGCTGACTAATATACAATTGCATGGTACAGTGTCGATTAGCTATACACTGATTTACAAGTGTCATGTAGCATCTAGAAGAAAGTTCTGAAGACGGGCGCGTGGATGAAGCTTTCCGTGACAAGCAGGGACAAGAAGCCGAGCATGGCCAGGCGCCCGTTCCAGCGCTCGGCTCTGGCCGTGAACGGCCCGAAGCTCCGAGCATCTGTCGACTCGCCGTTCAGCATGGGCACGATGGACGCGTAGGCGATCAGTGGCACCAACGTCACATAGAACACCAGACCGGCCCCTTGGGTGTACAGCTGATCGTACACTGTCAGACCGCTCATCTTCTCGGCGACGGCTGCCCATACGATCCCGAGCATCGCCTGCAATTGTTCCATCCATCCAAAGTTCACATGTAAGTGTCAGAGTTATCCGAAATTACAAAACATTTCCCAAGTATCGACTGCGAGTACTGTGTATCGAACGCAAACTAGAAATTGATCAGAAGTCTCTTCAAGACATTAAAGTCCATCAATTTGGAGTGGCTGAGAAGTGTACCAGTCGGCCGTTGATGGTTTCAGGCGCGGCGCCATCGAAAGCGAAAATGCTGCCGATGCTTTTGTCGCCGGTTTCCGGTCGCCTCTCGACCTCGGGGCGAGGGTAGAAGGATCCGGATGTGGGCTTGGCACCGAACACGGATTGCTTCTCGGACTCGTTCACCTCCTGGTTCTGCAGAATCTCATCCTTGGTGATCTCCTTCTTCGTGGCCTTATCGACGGCCTCCCTCACACCTTCGCATCTGATGGATCCCAGTCTCCTAGCCAACATCGGTGCCCTTACACTCTTGAAGACGGTAGTGGAAGCAGCAGACCTCTTCAGACTGGGCGAGAGAGGTGCACTTCCGAGTCCGGCTGCGGCAACGGAGGAACAGGCCATCATAGCTGCCATTGTGCTTCGCTTTTGAATATCCTAAAAGAACGGGAGCTAGAGGTAATTCTGATACTGGTTCGATTAGAAGTCCTTCAGCTGCTGACAATCGTGAAGAGCGAACCTAGAAAATTAGAAAGTGGATAATTGAGTGGGCGTTGATTGCGCGGAAAGAGTTCGCGAGAGTGGAGGGATGAGCTTTTGATTTTGGGAATCTGCGGAGCAGGGTGGATATATATAGTGCCCGATGGTTGGAATGGAAGAGGGGAATGCTGCCACTTGTCCCGGGGCTCGACGGCACGATGAGCTTCCACGTCGTAGTAAAGTGCAGCTGCGCTCTAGTCCTATGCTGCGATTGGGCTATCGCGGGGAGTTAACTTGTGGCAGGAGCCGCGAGTTTGCAGGTGACTAACGTGGCCGTGAAATCAAACCTGTTGAGGCTAATTGACAAGTGTCACATGCGATCACTTACAATTCTACCTGCTACTTAAACCCACCAAATGTGGAGCTCCAGTGAACAACTGTGAACCCGAAGAATCGCATTCGCAGTTCCGATGCAATACAAAAGAATCTCGTAGCACAGCCCTCGATCACTTATCTCGCGAGGGTGATTCATAGAAGTCTCAGTTCTAAATGATGAAATTATAATATAAAATAAATAATAATTGATAATTGAAATTATCAATTCCAGCCAGTCCACCATAGCAAATCAAAATGGTCACTTCTTTATAGTGAATACTAACTTTCCTAGCGATGAAAAGATTGTGAGATTTTCGCTTCCTATGTAATAATTAAATTTTGTCTACTAGCTGTCGGATGGAACGCGTACTGCCACTTGTTCATCGGAAAGCTTATGGGTAAATAGTAAATATTCTAGTAAATATTTATAATGCAGCTGCCCGAAGATGGACAAAATCGGTTTGAAGTTCAGACAGCTGAGAGCTACCCAGGCCAGAAGAGGATTAAAAAAAAGTGGAGTTAGCGAATGAAAAGCGCATAAAGGGCTAGGAATCAATGGGATATGGGTAGGAAAAGTGCATGCTGAAAACCAAAAGCACAATAAACTTGGAAATGTTGCCAACGGAGAGCAATTTGGATAGGTTAATAATGATGTCAATAATGAGAGGAAAATGCACGGATCTTTCGGGCTTGACTTATTTTCATTTTTTGCAACTTTTATTATGTAAGTAGAGTTTGGAATCTCGAAGTTTCATCGAAAGAGTTTTTCAATTTACTATAAATTCGAGTATAAATTGAGCTCATCTTCCACCTTTTTTTTTTTTTATGCGTTGGATGACCTTATAATATATATGTAAGATTTATTATCTTTTAAAAGGTTTCTTTTTCCTCATATCAGAGTATAACCACACACAAGTGGTGAAGTGTGAGAATGAGATAAAAATATATGAACGGGAATTGGGACTCTAAAATTCACACGGGCTCTCCATATATTTCTACATTGACATTTACAACGTCCGAAAGCATGGAGTTATTCCAGCTCCTATTGGAAATGAATGGTTTCATCCGATCCGACTGACAATTACTTTGTAGGATATATTTTAGCACTATTCTGTGGTTAGATCTCATTGACGATTGAGAAAACTAGGGTCACAGGAATGTTATGTCGCCGCAAGATTCATGAAGCCTAGCAGGGCCCAACGCCCGTTCAATTTATTGCTGATATACGTTGTGGCGAAATAGACCAAAAAATAGATCAAAGATGTGAGAATTTACATGTGAGCTTTTCCAACTTTTTCTTGTTCGAGTTTTTTTAACACAATTTTTTGCGAATAAAAACATATAATTAGATATAACCTTGTTCCAGCTTGTATTGTGCCTTCTATTTCATAGATTCCACTCTTAGCTCAATAATCTATAAGTTTCACTAAACTATCATTTCACTTTTCACTGCAAGTTTTCTTAAGTTTAAAAAATCAGATTCGTTTTGTGTGATGTGAAAGTATCTCAGCCAGTATCAAATTGTGGCTACATGCAAGAAAATTTCAGACAGAATTTCAGGGGAAGTAATTTCTGGCGAATAAAATGGGATAAAGTGGAATAAAGTGGAATTTTTATATATATATAATTTTTGAATATTTTAATCCCACTGTTTCATTAAAACAAAATATTTTGATTTTTATCTGTCTTGCTGAGGAAGATATTCATGTATTTTATTTTTTAATATTAACATTTTGATGTTTTTAATTTATCTTTTGAAAATTTATCTACAGATAATTCGTAAAATTTTCTTGCTCTTTTATTGTTCTTTATTTTGATTGTAAAAGTAAAAGGCGAAAGTTTAATTTTATCAATTTTGTTATCATTTGAATTGTGCATAATTTTTATGATCATGTTCACTTCTTAAAACTTTTAAGTGGATCCAAAAGAAACAGGCAAATTTAGTCTAAAATAATGTAGACAATATTTTCCCTTCTACATCTCTAGAATTTAACAGTACGAATGAAAAAGCGTGCATTTTGCAAGCTTCGTTATTATTCAGGTGTGCTGTATAATGCACGGCTCAATATTATAGATCAATCAATCGGCTTAAGGAGCTCGAATTTACTACAACTAATCTGAAGATTGGTAATGTACAATCTATTACTATACAACCATCTGCTCTACGGTAATACACAAGATTGCTGCCTCAAATTTTGTGGGTATCTAGAAGAAGGTTCCGAAAACTGGTGCGTGGATGAAGCTTTCCGTGAGCAGCAGAGACAAGAAGCCGAGCATGGCCAGGCGCCCGTTCCAGCGCTCGGCTCTGGCCGTGAACGGCCCGAAGCTCCGAGCATCTGTCGACTCGCCGTTCAGCATGGGCACGATGGACGCGTAGGCGATCAGTGGCACCAACGTCACATAGAACACCAGACCGGCCCCTTGGGTGTACAGCTGATCGTACACTGTCAGACCGCTCATCTTCTCGGCGACGGCTGCCCATACGATCCCGAGCATCGCCTGCAATTGTTCCATCCATCCAAAGTTTACATATAAGTGTCTTATATTCCAAGGTTACAACCCCTTCCCAAGTACTGCACGCAAGGATTGTGTATCAAGTGCAATACTGAAATTCATCTGAAGACACTGAATGGTAATAGAAATCCATGAATAATAGAGGCGTTGAGAAGTGTACCAGTCGGCCGTTAATGGTTTCAGGCGCGGCGCCATCGAATGCGAAGATGCTGCCGATGCTTTTGTCGCCGGTCTCCGGTCGCCTTTCGACCTCGGGGCGAGGGTAAAAGGAGCCGGATGTGGGCTTGGCACCGAACACGGATTGCTTCTCGGACTCGTTCTCCTCCTGGTTCTGCAGAATCTCGTCCTTGGTGATCTCCTTCTTCGTGGCCTTATCGACGGCCTCCCTGACACCTTCGCATCTGATTGATCCCAGTCTCCTCGCCAACATCGGTGCCCTCACAATCTTGAAGACGGGAGTCGAAGCAGTAGACCTCTTCAAACTGGGCGAGAGAGGTGCACTCCTGAGTCCGGCTGCGGCAACGGTGGAACAGGCTATCATAGCTGCCATTGAGCTTTGCTATTGAATGTCCTAAAAGAACGTGAGCTCGAGAATGTCCTAGTGCTTGTTCGACCAGAAGTTCGTCAGCTGCTGATAATCGTAAAGAGCTGATGAGCTGCTGATAATCACTAAATAGAGAGTTGAGAGATAGCCGAGCGTTGTATATAGACGGAGAGGGTTGACGCGATCAACTTTTGTTGTTGGGAATCTGCGTAGCAGGGTGGAGACTTATAGTGCGCGAGAGGTGGAATGGACGAGGGGAACACTGCCACTTGTCCCGGTGCTCGAAGGCGCGGTGAGGTTCCACGTCGTAGTAAAGTGCAGCATCACTCCAGTCCTATGCCTGCGATTGGGCTACTGTAGAAGTATACTTGTGGCAGGAGCCGCTAGTTTACAGGCGGCCACCGTGGCCGCGAATTGAAACTGTCAATATCAGTTGCCATGTGTCACGGGCGATCAATCAATACACACCTGCTACTGAAACCCTCTACCTGTGGAGCTAAAATGCACAACTGTGACCCCAACGAATCACGGTCGCAGCTACGATGTAAAGCAAGCACTTTATGTAGCGTACTCCTCGATGATTTATGTGGTGCGGGTGACAGATAGCGGTCTCAGTTCTGTATGGTAGAAATTCAGGACAGACTAGTTCAGGCAGTCCACCATAGAATGTCGAAATGCTAATTTGATCAGTGTTTACGTACTGTTGTCGAGATATTGTCCGGTGTCGGATGGCACGCGTACTGCCACTTGTTCTTCTTATGAGGATAATTTATGATGAGGATTTAAAAAGAAATTTCGTAGAAAAATGGTCGCAGTCAGAGAAAAGTTCAGAAATCTGAGAGCTAACCGGGGAAGCAAAATAGTCACCAAGCGAGTGATTGATTGAGAATCGATGGAATTAGCGAGTGAAAAGATCATGAAGGGCTACGAATCAAAGGGGATGTTGGTAGGGAAACTGCAAGCTGAATAGCAACATCACCACCCTCATTTCACATGATTTTCAAATTCCTCAACTTAAAATGATACTTAGAAAATATTTGTCATTCAAGTGAGATTTTGCTAAACTCTTGACCTTGCCAGGAAATTTTTCTTCAAGTCTAAAAAATATTTCCAACTTTCTAACTGAAATTTTATGGCAAATTCCACTAGAATCTAATTATTCAACATACCTACTTTCGAAGAATGTCTTATCCATTTTAGAATTACAATTCTTGTGTATTTAATCATTTGCCCATTAACCTAGAGTAGAGAGTCCATCAAATGTTTGGAGACGTTAAGTTGCCTCTTAAAGTATTCTATAATAATCTTCACAATACATATATGTGATTCCTTATGATTCATGTTTTTTTTTATTCATTAAATTGTACATTCTTTAATCTACAATGTAATTACCTTTAGTGTGATATTCTTTGTTTAAGATAGCCAGGAATTAGGTGATAAATCACAACATTAGCTTTCGCTTAGCGTTCCTGTTTGAGTTTTACAAACACCAGAACAAACAATGAAAGTTTTCTTCAGATTTATTATCAGAATCGGATTGCGTGATGAGAATACGACATCATGTAATTGGGTAGCTGCCGGCTTTTCTTACGAAAAATATATCACCAAGCGTTGGATTCTTTTTCCACCAGTAGGAAACCTGACAGGGTTCAGGTTCCATGAGACGGGTTAGTGTTACGCTAATTATGACTTGGCTCCACAATAGTAATATTAGTATTTGAAATTGATAAAAGAGGAACAGTTGAATGCCATAATCGGTAATTGTATTCGGTTAAAAAATCTAGTGAATCGAAGACACTATTCCTAAAATTAAGTTTTTATGTTGTAAGTGAACATAGGGCTCCGATCGGTCACGTTTGAATGTCAAACCGTTTGACCTTCGGATTCGGGTAGAACCCGATGGATCCCCATCGAGTGGAGTAACGGCGAGGAAGAATCGGGAAATTGGAGATGCGAGTATTTTCTTGACGAGGAGTCGATGCAAGAATATTTCGAGGAAGCTGGACGAGCAGAATAGGTAACGCAGCGCGGCTCAGCTAACGCAGAAGCGAGCGAGCAAGGGACCGGGTGCCTCCATCGCATGAGCGAGGTGCGCAGCAGTCGGGACGAGGAGGAGGCGTGCCAGACACGATAGGAGGAGCAGAGTTTAGCGAGATGGAGCGGAAGCCAGTTGGGCTTGCAGCTGAGCTTTTATCGGTCGTTGCTTTATTGTTGAAGAGGCGGTGCTACTCACATTGAACTCTTCGACGAGCTTCTTCGTCCGCTGGGTCTAGAACTGGTCCTTCACATAGCTATAGGAGCCCTTGGCGCCCGGCCAGCAGAAGGCCATCATTTCCTTGATGAACTTGTCGGGGTTGAGGATGGGCCAGGCGCGGTGCCCGTAGTTGATGCGCTCGTCCGCCGGGTCCCTGAGGTCCGTGATCCGAGGCCCTTCCCCGGCCCAGGACGGGTTGGTGTTCCAGATATCATCTCGGCCGGCGTCCTCGTACATCACAGCTTGCTCCGTCGCCTGTAGCGCCTCCATCTCTAGAGCAGCCATTAGGTCCTCCTCCTCCTGCTGCTCGCGGGCGATGGCCTCGTCGTTCACCGCTCGCGGGTCCTGGACTCCTCCCCCGGCCGCCGGCGGCACTCCCTCAAAGTCCCCCTCCAGCCGTCTAGGGCTCGAAGGACCGCCGGGACCGGAAGTCGGAACTAGACGGCCGACTCGCCGCTTCCACCGCCCCTGACTCGGCGTCCCCTCGCCGGCGTCCGGCGTGGCCGATGCCTCGCCGGACTCCTCCATCGGCCGCTTGCCTTGTCTCCTCTCATCGGCCTGTGTCAGGTCCTCCTCGGCTTGCCGGCGCTGATCCTCGACCTGCTTACGCTGCTGCTCGCGAGCCTGCCACTCGAACAGCTGCTCCTCCTGTTGCGGGGAAGGGAGTTTGTCGGTCAGATCCTGCGACATATCACTCACGATCTTGTCTTGGCTCATCTGCGCCTCCGGGCTCAGCCGGCGCGCCGGCGACGGCGGCCCGATGCAGGTGCAGGTGGCGCCGGTGCAGCGCCCGGTGCAGGTGACCCGCCCACAGTTTCCACCGGGAACTGGGAACCCGGGTCCACATCCGGGTATAGCTCCATCTGGAAGAACGGCGTCAGGGTGCCGGCGTGCGGCCCCTGGAGCAGCAGCGACAAGAACTCGGGGTTGGCCGTGCTGAAGCGTCCTCGGGAGTCGGCGCCGGTAAGGACGGCCTCTCCGACGAGTCCAGGGCGAGGGCGGGGACCGCCGCCTGTCCTTGCCGGTCCCTGGTGTGGGAGGTAGACGCCTGCAAGTAGTCCTCCCACGACGTGTCCACACGCGTCGGCGACTCCAACAGTTCCTGGAACCCGTCCACGGGGTTGGCCGGTACTGGCGTGGGCCCCCCCGTAGCCGCTAGCAGACGGCGAAACCACCTTCATGTACTCTTCCACCGAGAGGGGCTGGACGTTTCTGTCGGGCGACGCATACGGTCGTATGGTGGGCGATCCGTCTGGCGGGCCCCACAGTGTCCACCAAGATATAATCAAACCGATGCCCTTCTTTACATAAAGACCTTTAAACCCGGTGCTCAAAATCGTGTCTCCCCGACCGCGTTCGAGCTAACCGTGGACGCTACCACGACTACAGTCCATGAGATACTATGCTATCGACGTTTGATAGGGAGCTACCACGAGTATAGTCTCACTGTTTCATTAAACAAAATATTTTGATTTTCATCTGTCTTTATGAGGAATATATTATTGTATTTTATTATCTAATAATTTTTTGATGTTTTGAATTTATCTTTTGAAAACTTTTCTACAAGTAATTCGTAAATTTTTCTTGCTTTTTTATTCCTCTTTATTTTGATTGTAAAAGTAAAAGACGAAAGCATAATTTTATCAATTTTATAATCATTTGAATTGTGCATAATTTTTATGATCATGTACACTTTTTAAAACTTTTACAAGTGGATCCAAAAGAAACAGGCAAATTTAGTTTAAAATAATGTAGACAATTTTTTCCCTTCTATATCTCTAGAATTTAACAGTAAGAATGAAATAGCGTGCATTTTGCACGCTTCGTTATTATTCAGGTGAGCTGTATAATGCACGGCTCAATATTATACATCAATCAATCGGCTCAAGCAGCTCGAATTTACTACAACTAATCTGAAGAATGGTAATGTACAATCTATTACTATACAACCATCTGCTCTACGGTAATACACAAAATTGCTGCCTCAAATTTTGTGGGTATCTAGAAGAACGTTCCGAAAACTGGTGCGTGGATGAAGCTTTCCGTGAGCAGCAGAGACAAGAAGCCGAGCATAGCCAGTCGCCCGTTCCAGCGCTCGGCTCTGGCCGTGAACGGTCCGAAGCTCCGAGCATCTGTCGACTCGCCGTTCAGCATGGGCACGACGGACGCGTAGGCGATCAGTGGCACCAACGTCACGTAGAACACCAGCCCGGCCCCTTGCGTGTACAGCTGATCGTACACTGTCAGTCCGCTCATCTTCTCGGCGACGGCTGCCCATACGATCCCGAGCATCGCCTGCAATTGTTCCATCCATCCAAAGTTTACATATAAGTGTCTTATATTCCAAGGTTACAACCCCTTCCCAAGTACTGCACGCAAGGATTCTGTATCAAGTGCAATACTGAAATTCATCTGAAGACACTGAATGGTAATAGAAATCCATGAATAAATAGAGGCGTTGAGAAGTGTACCAGTCGGCCGTTGATGGTTTCGGGCGCGGCGCCATCGAATGCGAAGATGCTGCCGATGCTTTTGTCGCCGGTTTCAGGTCTCCTCTCGACCTCGGGACGAGGGTAGAAGGAGCCGGATGTGGGCTTGGCACCGAACACCGATTGCTTCTCGGACTCGTTCACCTCCTGGTTCTGCAGAACCTCGTCCTTGGTGATCTCCTTCTTCGTGGCCTTATCGACGACCTCCCTCACACCTTCGCATCTGATGGATCCCAGTCTCCTCGCCAACATTGGTGCCTGTACACTCTTGAAGACGGGAGTCGAAGCAGCAGACCTCTTCAGACTGGGCGAGAGAGGTGCACTTCCGAGTCCGGCTGCGGCAACGGTGGAACAGGCCATCATAGCTGCCATTGTGCTTCGCTTTTGAATATCCTAAAAGAACGGGAGCTAGAGGTGATTGGAAT